GTGTGTTCTTTTATTTTTATCTTATTTTGTTGTGTGTGTGTGTGTGTGTGTGTGTGTGTGTGTGTGTGTATGTGTGTGTGTGTGTGTGTGTGTGTGTTTGTGTATGTAAGTATACATGGTGACCAGAGGTCCACCTTGGGTATCATTTCTAAGGAGCGATCCACCTTATTCTTATGAGATAGGCTCTCTCACTGGCTTACTGCTTGCTCAAGTAGGCTTTCTTGGTTGACCAGCAAGCCCCAGGGATCCTCCTGTCTCTGCCTTCCCAACACTGGGATTACAGGTACACACAACCACATCCAGCTTTTTTTTTAAAACAAACAAACAAACAAACATGGGCTCTGAGGATCAAACTCAGATCCTCATACTTGCAAGTAAGAATACTGACTGAGCCATTTCTCTAGTCCTGTCGATGGGTTTTAAGGGTGACTTTTATGCTAGAAATTGCTTCATGAAATTGAATTCTTTGGGATAGTTAGCATTAGTTTTATGAAAAATAATATAAAGGCTTGTTAAATTTTATTTGATTCATGGATCAATAATATAAAGTTATATGGAAAATGCTGTCATCACGTGTTTACATTCACTTCATCATCACCATCACGTGAAAACCGGGTTTATGGATATGTATATATACCACTGATCTATTACCTATGTATAATGTATACACATTGCATTAAATATATCAAATCTAATCTGCAAATCACAAAACTAGTAGAGAAAAATAGAGAGAAAGCACATTGCCAAGGAATGTGGAGGTTGAGGCATGAGGTAGCCTTGTGGCCAGGGTCCACTCTACTCCAAAGCCAGTTTGCTTATCTTCAGACCAGGCTATCCATGTTGCATATGACACCTCAGACTCTTTGTCCCTCCTTGGCTATAAATGGAAGCTGTTCTATGCATCCTTCTCCTTACAGAACAAAAGACCATGGCTTCAATCAGATGAGGTGAGCAGTCATTCATCAAATCAAGGATACTCTACAAATTCCACTGGAGACTTCGTAAGTTGTTCAAGCCCTTTGGTTTCCACGAAGGAAGACATTTCAAAGCTTTTGTTTCTTTCTGAGTTCAACAACAACAAAAAAGGTGAGATACAGAATTCAGTATTATATATTATATTATAAAAGAAATAAGTAAATGTTCAGTGAATTTGAGGATAATTAGTTTTCATCATTTAACTTTCATAGTCAATTTTTTTTTTTTACCAGAAACAAAATTTGAGTCTTGCTAGATGTCTCTTCAAATATTTACAGCTTGGGTGAGACATCCTTATGGTTTTGTTCTAAGTCTATCCAGACTGGATCCTTGGGGATTTGCAGAGATTCCCATGGGGATGTCTGTGCTGATGAAGTGTGTGTGATTCACACCCACACTGTTACCTCTTAAACCTAACAGCTAATGTAGGGTCAGAATTAGGCTCCATCACAGCATAGGGATCCATGGAAATGTTCCAATCTGGTGGCTCATTTTCATATTAGGTAACAATATTCAGAGCTGTGAATGTGCTGGAGCTCTCAATATTTTTCAACATCAGAGCATTAGGAAAACACTCAAACTGGAATTCAAGCCTCCAGCTCAAGTGCAAGGAAGAAGCAGCGATCTCAGTTTAGAAAGACTGACAGACAGTTTCATAGTCTTCCCAACTCAAGCTCAGTGGCTATGCCCTGAACTCAGACAAATATTGTGTATGGAGAGTAAACAGCTCTAACTTTGGAAAACTGGGTGATCTTTGAGGCTGTTTCCCTCTTCGACTTCCTTGCGACTGTCCATCACCCAACAGGATAACTTGCTCTCTGGGAGACCCTGACTTCTTTCATTTTGGTTCACCATTAATCCACTTTCATGCAACTAATTATTTTGAGCATAGCTATTAATTAAAATTAAGTCTACACTGAGTAGCATGTTCAATATCTGATCTCTAACACGATGATCAGGTGAGAGGACCCATAAGGAGAAGTGTTTCCTGGAGTTACTAAGTTCTTGAGAATCTGGGGCATTGACTTTCTTATGCCTCATGGACTATCTTGGTACTTTTATAGACAAGCCATACTGAAGGTTTAGTTTCTTGTGTGTATCTACACACCACATGCCTCTAAGTTAAGACTTGCTGAGAAAACCTGACATAAATAGAAACAATCATATTACACAGAAGCTAGAATTTGGATATATCTATAAAGGTATTTTTATAAGGCTGTTGCATTTAAACAAAATTTCAGTTAAAAGCACACCCATATAAATAGCTAGTAAGTCTTTTTGAGACAGGGTCTCCCTGTAGCCCCAGCTGTCCTGGAACTCACTATGTAGACACGGGCTGGCCTTGAACTCACAGAGATCTGCCTGCCTCTGCCTCCTGAACGCTGGGATTAAAGGCGTGTGCCACCATGCCTGGCCCCAAGAAGTCTCTTATGATCTTACCTTATACTTTGTGTGAGTATAAGGGAAACTTTAATAAAAGGGCTCTTTTCCATAAGTAGAAGAAAAAAGAACTTTCTGCATTTAATATGAATGTATAAAGGGAAAACAAAAAGGTGATGTGAGGTTAGTTACATATTCTCCTTAATATATGAAATGTGATGGACGAGTGGAACCTGGGTGGGTTGGTTCTATTTGGAGTTGCCAGGGTGGTCACCATCTCTCTTGCTTCCCTTTTATGACATGGACAGATGTTTAACTTTGCCACTATGGTAGGATCCCATCATGTCGTGGCAAAGCAAAATTAGATGTGAAATGCTTCATCAGTTCCATGTTGGTATGATCTTTTTCAGGTAATCACGCATGGTATGTAGAACCATTAAATACTTTGGAGGCACATCATGAAATACTGTAATATGATTTTAATATATCGAATATAGTGTGATGTTGAGGTACAGAATAGGTATATTTATGTTAAGATAACAAGATAGCTCATCTCATGCAAATTTCTAAGACTGTCAGGACAGAACAGTTCTATTAAGGGTCTAATTGCCTTGTGTTTAAAATATGTTCACTTTATGCTATACTAGGGATTTTGCTGCAGAAAAACCTTACTTTTTGAAATTTCAAAGGACTCAAACTTGACAGGTTGAATGTAGTTCACCAGATTGGACATCTCTTCCGTGGCCATGGCCTCGCTCCCAGCCGTACCCTTAAGCAGGAATCAAAAATAAACAACATTTCCAGAGTCAACATTATGATACCTAGGGTCATTTTCTCAGGAAAAAATGGTTATGCGACTCAAGGTAGAAGAAACTCTTCTTCCTATTTTAAAAATGCTGTCACCAAGAGGGAGAAGAAACTCTTCTTCCTATTTTAAAAATGTTTGTCGCCAAGAAATCCACCAAAGGGGTGGAAAGCGCAGCTCAGCCCAGCGGCCCACATCCCAAACACCTGGTGGTAGGTGTATTTCAGCTTGGCGTTTGGACTAATTGCAGATACCTAATGAAATATTTTGGGGCCAAGACTGAACTCTAAACAAAAAATTCATTTAAAATTCACATGCACCTTATACACACAGTCTAAAAATAATTTGTTTCCAGTGCTGAGGATCTAACCCAGTACATAATAATTTTGCACATGAAATAAAATCCCATGGTATAGAATTTTCCACCTGTGGTGTCAGGTCAGTTCCACAGTTTGGGGTTTTTAGATTCTGGATTTTTCAGACTAGGCATGCTTAGTCTATAGTTAATTTATAAAGGTGAGAGCTAGCAGGTGGTCTGTGGTCAACAGCATCAGTACCCTTCCCTTCCCTTCAGAGGGATGCAGGACCTCAGCTCTCTCCACAGGCCTTGGCAATCAGAATTGGCATTAGTAAGGTAATGCCAACCCACATCAAGGTTTGACAAGTATCGTTCTCCATAGCAGACAGCACAGATGAAGTCTACAGGGAATAAACCAAGAGTTCACTTGATAGTAACAAAAATGATTATGCAGCTGACCACTGTATAGACTGAAAAAAATAATAAAAATTAAACAAAGGTTGCCTTTTGGCAGCAAGTGGGGATATGCAAAGTTTCTGTATTTCTTTTTTTTAAAAATTAAAAAATTTTTAAATTGATTTGTTTATTGTACATTTACTTATGAATATTTTGCCTTTATGCAGGTGCTCCAGTGTCAAGCCTTGCTGGCAGAGGCCAAAGAGGGTGGCAGATCCCCTGGAACTGGAGTTACAGATGGTTGTTAGCTACCAATGGGTTCTGGGAACTGAACCCAGGTCCTCTATAAGAGCAGCCAGTGCTCTTAACTGCAGAGCTGTCTCTCCAGTCCCCAGTTTCTGTATTTCTTTATAAGCATCTGTTCCGACTCACTTGTTGGTTCCTATGTGACAAAATGTATACTGTGGCGACAGGAAGAACAGCTCAAGTCCCAGAGCGAGGTCATTTGACATTAAGTCCCAAGCTGATTACTTAGATGCTGTTCAGTTGTGGACAAGTGGCTCAACTGCTCAGTTTACTCATCTAGAAAATTAGCATTATATATCAGTCCTATGCTACACAAGGTTTTTGTAATTATTTGAGTTAATTTACATAATTTATGTGAAAGAGCTCAGCAGTGCCTGGCACGTGGTGAAATCTCATGTTATTTTAGATGGTATTAGCAATTACATAGTTCTTTAATACAAATTATAATAAAGAAAGCCAATACTGCATCACTAGCACAAGACAGGCCTCTATGGACTGATCTCATTTTAAGAAGAGGAAAATGCATAGAGAGAAAGTTTACTTTTTGAAAATTCCAGCAGAAATATTCTGGTTAAGTGCCAACTGGTATATATTCATTTGCCAATAGGCAAATATAAAATGATACAAAACTACTTAAAATATACATAATTGAAATAATTCTTAGGCAGATGTAGTTCACTAGTTGTTATAACAGTTTTCCTCATGAGATTAAGGTGAAATTTAGTGAGGGGACATAGCAAAGCCAAACTAAGTTGGACATGGCGGCCATGTTTGTAATCTCTGGTACTTGAAGTCTGATGTCGGAAGGTCACTGGAGCCTGAAGTTTGAAACCATTCTGGGCTACATAGTGAGACCCTCTCACAAAATAAAATACATAAAAATTTAGACTTTATTAAAATATACAAGGAGAAGAATGCCAAATAAGAAGAACATCTTGAGCAGATACACAAATACACATCTGTGATCTCAGCATTCCAGAGACTGAGTGCCAGTCTAGGATACGTGGAGCGTTAGAAACCAGTCTGGGCCACATGGAAAGTTTGAGGCTTGTCTGGGTTGCCTAATGAGATTCTATCTTTCACAAAACACAAGCAAGCAAGCAAACACCTCAATAAATAAGCCAATGCTTCAGAAACGAAAAGAAAAAAAGCTTGTATTTATTCACTGTTAGTGAAACGGCAAGTCTGTCAGTATACAGCCAAAGACTGACATATTTGAGTGTACATTCAATATAAACTGTATGACTAGGACTCTCTGAAACAAAATTCTGAACTTTTAATTGAGCCGTCTCTGACTTGGGTTCTGTGATGTTCTGTGATGTTCTGGGTTCTGTGATGTTATTACTTCTGACCATCACGTGGAGGGTTCAAGTTTTTATCAGTATGTAGTTATAATGGCTCTAAAATTACAACAATGGAATTAATGTCGCTCTGAAAAGTCCTGAAAACCCTATATTTTCTCTGGACTTTAGACCATTTGACAACTCATTGAATTGCCTCAAAAATTGGAAGCTGGCAACTGAATGTCATGTGTTTAATCTTTCTACCACTAGATGGCAGACAGGGATCAGAGATTTGTTCAGGCTGGACAATTGGTGAACCATTTTGGGACCGTACATACTGCACACCCACCTCATCCATTGAAGATTTTTTACAGTCATCATCGTCGTCGTCATCATCACTCTCTGTATCTGCTTCCCCTGTCAAATGTTAACAACAAACCATAATATCAATATTCGAAAGCTCAAAGAATTTGCAAAAGCAAAACATGACCACGGAATTCTTTGGAAATTTGTCTTTCAGCTTACTTTAAAATTATTTTTTCAAGGGTTTAAATTTTTAAATAATAGAATTATATTAAAAAATTTAATATGTGTTTAAAAATTTTGTGATAAATTCCATTTAAAATTTAAGGTCTATTAAAAAAAAAAAAAAAAGCTTGTCTTAACTTTTCTCTCTGTTTCTGTTTGTTTTAGACTGTCTCCCTGTAGCCCCAGATGGCTTAGAACTAACAATGTAGAACAGGCTGGACTCGAACTCACAGAGATCTGTCTGCCTCTGCCTCCCGAGTGTTGGGACTGAAGGTGTGCACCACCACACTTGGCTCTCCATATATTTTTAAAATTGAATGCCATCATATATGATTTGCTTTCTGTGCGGGCATCCTGTTGTGATGTGTACATTTATCTTTCAGGGATGTTAAATTCTGTGACCTTAACACAGATAAACTCTCCTTTTTTCATCTTTCTGTCCTTTTCTAAGCTCTAGTGTTTTGAAGCAACCCTTGGCCAGCACGTAGCTCAGGGACAAATCTTCTCTAAAAGAGAGGACCTCACGGAAGTCAAAGAAGAAGTTATGAGAGGTCAGGAACTAAGGGACACTAGTAGCAAAGATGAGCACATGAAACCTGCCAAGTCCCCACTATATCATTTAATGGATTCTTCATTATCTAAATAATGCATATACATTGAAAAGTGAGGGCATTCTGTTTAAAAGGGCAAGATAGAAAAAGCTAATACAAAAAAAACACAAAAAGAAAATAAGCTAACACTTCAAAATCACTGTGCTTGAAAATCTAACTCAGACCTGCTTCACCTTCATATTCAGCTAATACATAGTGACTTCAATTGATTGGTTTCCCCCAGAAAAAACAAGTTGATGGGCAGTTTTCTAGGTAAAATATGCACCTTAGTATTAAGCACTAAATTCTTCTATACTTCTAGGCTTCACTCATACCCACTAACATTAATTTTCAAGTAAAAAGTACAGAAGACTTTCAAACTTCCATCCGCAGTGCAATGGCACAATGGTGCCAGTAGATGGCAGGATTAACTCATGAGTGAGGCAGCGTCACCTGGTCCCTACTTCCAAAGGGGCCTTCTGAAAGTCAGCAACCCTATTCACTGCGTATGGATGATACAGTGCCCACAGTGCTGCCTTCCAAGAAGCTCTATGTGCTTTCATCTGACTGACAAAGCTCAGTCAATTACTGAATGGCAGTGAGCAAAGTATTCATGAAATATCTGTAGAGGGAAAGATGTCTGTGATGAGTAAGGGCCACATATGGACTGTTTATAAAGCAAGCCACATACAGCACTCGATGCTGGAGTGATAATGAGGTGACTCACATATCTGAGTGGAAAGTCTATCATACTGGAGACACATTCTTTTAGGAGGTAGCCATTTAACATTTTATGTACATTTTTTTACCTGAAACTATTATTACTACTATTAATCATCAAAGAGGGAATTATTTTAATCAAGCAGTATGAAAAGAGGTTTGACAGAGCATTCTACAAAATGTTTCATGAGACATAGCAACCATCCCATCATTTCAAAGCCAGCATCAGGTCATTTCTTGGTTTGTGTGGGAGAACAAGAATTTATCTTTACAGTGATAGCAAGGACTTGGCTTTTCCTTCTCAAATTAAAAAAAAAAAAACCCTTATCTATTTGTATTTAAATTCCAAGTTGATGCACAAAACTTGTACATATTTGCAGGACTTCTCTCATTAGACTTTGGAAGAACCCCAGAGAAATCTTGTTGAAATACAAAAAAAGAGTATCTTAGAAAAATATAGCACCAAGAAAAATACCAAAAAGTGGTACCTTACTTTACCCTCACTCTCTTAGGAAGGCTTCCTGGCAGAAGCATATGGACAGGACAGGATGTGATAAGTGACTTCACTTAGAAATAGGATTCATGTTTCATGCCTTGAGCTACTTGAGTTCCTGACCTAATGAACATATATAAACCAAAAGGTAAATGACAAAATACATACATATTAAAATCTCCAAACATTTCCACGGAAATAAATAATGATTGCACAACAGACTCCTGGCTAGCTTAGGAAATCTCCCGAATTGCTAACAGATTGCTGCTCTTTCTCTGTATTAAGCAATCACGTTCACTGCCTGTAAAAATCATTATTTGTGTTTTGCATGCAGTTAATGAGAAGGGAGAACTGGTAGTAAGAAATGCAGATGGTGCAAAAAACATCAAGCACGCACGTGCCAAGGACAGAGGCAGGTTAGGGAAGCCGTGGCTCTAATGACAACCATTCCGAAACTTCAGAAGCATTCTTACTGAGAACGGAAGTTATCTTTAAAAAAATGTCCTGAGGTTTGGGCTTAGGGCTCATTGAGGAAGAGGGGAAGAATGATTGTAAGAGCCAGGGGAGGGGGTGCATGACCATATGGAAACAGAATCTTGCAGGCTCCTAGGACCCTGCTCAGATGCATTTGCAGCAATGGTGTTAACATGCACAAGACCCATGCAAAGTCAAGCAGACAAAAACCCAGCGTAGAACTGGGGAAATGGGCAGCAGGCCCCAACTTAGCCGAAGAACGACTAGCAGCTGATCACTGCTGGGTGAGGGAGAGTTGAGTTTCTTTTAGGGAGAGACTCAAGATAGGCTGACTTGACCCCAGCAGATGAACTTGCACTTTGGGACATCTGGGTACGCTAACTTGACTCAATAGGTCTTAGCATATATGAAAGAATGTATTAATTTAGTGGAGGTAGGCTATGGGGTGTCTGGATGGGGGAGGGAGTATAAAGACGATTAATATATTTTGTATGAAATACACAAAAATTCAATAAAAAAGAATTATCCTGAGGTTTGAAATACAAATTCAAGAACCACAGGAGGGAAAAAAATCATTTGAAAGAATTATATGTCTGTTGATAATAATGCTATCTAGATTTAAGAGAAATTGGCAAAAGAGGCAGAAAACAAAAAGAAAAAAGAAATTAGTCAGAACCTGGGGGTGCAGCTCAGCACCTGCCTAGCATGTGAGAGGCCATGGGAAAACAAACACGAACCAAATCAAATGTAAACAAAACAAACATAGAGACAACGAAAAGAAACAGTCAAACTTTGCTGGCTATGTTTTAGGTGTGATTGCCGTGGAGGTTATAGTTTAACTTTGTAATTGTTTAAAAATCTTTTAACTGATATATGAAAGGTGTGCAGAAAAATGCACATATATGCACAGTACATGGATTTCACCATCAAATGAAGATGCATCTATTTTGAGATATAAAATATGACCAGACTCCAGAACTGAGGCTCCATCCCAGTTACTTCTAACAAGGAGAACTATTACCCTGACTTCTCACAGAACTATGTTTTTTCCTGATTTTATTATTTATATGGATGGAGCCACGTAGCATCTACTTTTTGGTATGTGACTTCTTTTGCCCAATATATGTTAATGATATTCATCAATACCTTCATGGATAGCTGCAAATCATTCTCATTATTACATATTATTCCTTTATGTGACTATACTATGATTTATTAATCAGCTGATAATTTGCTTACTTCCAGTGCTTGGCTATTTTTAATAATACCGCCTATAGCAATACTTACACAGTCTCTGGGTAAACATAATTACCAATTTCCATCAGCCATTTATCTCGGAATGGAACTCCTGGGGCACCTGACGCACCTATGTTTACCTTTTGTAGCTGTGCTAAGCTGCTTTCCCACTCTTCCTTCTTTCCCTCCCCTCTCTTGTGTCTCCTCCTTTGCTCTGCCTTTTCTTTTCCTCCCTTCCCCACAATTCTTCTTTTCTATGCTGGGGTTAGAGGCCAGCCTCATTCCTGCTAGGCACATACTCTACCACGGAGCTACACTGTCAGTTCCCCGTGTTAAGCTTTAATTGAAAAATTGCCTAAAGTCAACCTTTTTAACATTGTCACCCTTCAATAAGATCTTTGTCATGGACTTTTCAGATTGTCAAGATTCCTCTTGAAGGCCAACATAAATTAGATTAAATAACAAATAATTCAAAGGAAATGACTGACTCCTTGAATTCTTTTCTCATAATCACAAAAACGTCCATACCAACCTAACTTTAAAAAGAACCATTAGGAGCTTTCCTAGAGCCAGTTATTTTGCCATGTCTCATTTTTAAAGAGCTCCACAGAACATAAGAATTGGAAGGCCCAGAACCCTTCAGCTGCTTTGTGAGAATGCCCCAGTCAGTCTCCTGTCTTCCTCCCTACTGATGCTGCTGTGGAGACGCTTAGAGCCAGGTGGCTGATAAAAAGTCGATCTGCCTCATGTGTCAGTCAAAGCAACATCCTCCCAACGCTAGGCTGACTTCACAGACAAGGTTCGCATTGAGGTGGGGAAGTGCCCTGGACCCTCTGGGTGGATCTAAGTGATAACTGGAGTCTAAGAGCAGATGGCATTTCTCAGTGGTAGTCAAAGGGGCAAACTGACCACAGAAGAAGCTAGTGAGGTGCTCCATTACCCACTTGGAAGCTGGAGGAAGGGAGCTGTGAGCCAATGACTGTGGGAAGCCCTCAGGACTGTGAAAACACAGACAAATCCTTTCTTAGAGCTTCCAGAAGGGAATCGAGCCCTGCTGCCCCCTTCGTTTATTCCATAAGATCTTTTGGGACCTTCAGACTTACAGAACTAGAGAGTAAGAGATCTTGTTTTTAAGTTTGTGGTAGCAAAACAAAAGCAATGAAACGTAAAGCATTGCTGGAAAGGGAAAGCCAAAGGCCTGGCTGGGCTAGTTCAGAGTAGCATTCTTAAAAGCCACTCAAGGCGAGCCTGGCCCCTCACCGGCTCCTGGAGATGATGGCTCGAACACGCTGGAGGAGTCGCTGTGTGTATTGGAGGCTTGCTCCGAAAGCTTCTTTTTACCACTTCCTTCTGACGACTTGTGTGATTTCTTCTTATTTTTCACCAAAATCTTATACATTAAATCCATAGGGCTTGGAAGAGGCACTCCGGATTCCAGCTAGCAAAAGAAATCAGTCTTTAAAAATACTATCGCTTCCTTTCAGATCCCCTCCCAAGCACAGCTTTGGATACCACAAATCTCTAGATTATTATTTACTGCCTTTGACACGGCTCATTAAAGTGTTCTAATTACATCCTACTTTTTTTTTAAACATAAAAGATTTATGTTAATTACTGAACTCATTTTCCACAACAGAATCCACACAAGTAAGATCACAGATATATACTAGAAGACTTGATGGATTAAACCTGATGAACTATATGAATCCAACCATTGTAATACAGAGCATATAGAAAGCTCTGGCTTGAATTTTCAGAGAAAGGCCTGGCATTTGGCACAAAGAATTGGTGAAGTTGGGCATGAATTTCCAAGCAAGCCTGTGAAGTCAACTTTTCAGATGCAGTTTACAAACAGATGCGGTTTACAAGCAGTCAGATCCCATCCTGACTCTAGAGGGCGTTAGGTACACAGCTCTAAGGTATCAGAAAGAGATGGTATGGCTTCAGATTTCCTGCTCGCCAAAGAGTCAAGCTCCCTTATTAACAAGCCTTATTTTATGGTTGCAAGTTTGCTTGTCTAATGGGGGAAACCAATTTCCCATGAGAAGGTTATGAGGTACTCTATCAGACAGAATTGTGTAAGCCACAAGATAGGAGGGAAGAGGCTCCTTCAGATTATTGCTGCTCTTTTCTTTCTCAAACAGGGATGTGACTATGACTGTTACCAAGCCTCATCTAGGGGTCATTTTGCTCTACTCACAAGTCATGAGTAGATGCAGTGATGTTCTTCCAGTGTTAGATGTCCTTGAGAGTCTGAGATCCAAGGCCTGAACTGGCAGACCTAGAGACTGGCAGCTGCAAGCCCTGAGAGCCAGTGGCCTATCACTTAGGCTTAAGAAGCCAGAGACTTACACGTTAGGCACTCAGGTTGGAGGTTTACGGTGCTAGGCTTTAACCAGTAGTGGCCCTGGCACTTGGCTATTGCCATCCTCAGCTTCCCGTAGCAGCGAGTGGCGGGTTTGCTTGTGTTATGACTCATGACTCTTGAGAATTGCTAGTGCTACAGGTTTCAGGCATAAGGTGTTAGGACCCTTGGACCTTAAGGCTTAGCAGCTCCCGGGAGCGCTTCTAGCACACGGGGCCCAGTTTCTCTTGAGCTCTTCACAGCCTTCTTTGCGTCTCTACCCGAGTCCCACTTTGGATGCCTCTGTCACCTCCTGTTCCTACCCTGCTGTCCCTTCTGCCAGTTTCTCTTCATGCCACCAGTTCAGCCTGCCTCCACTAATGATAATGATCAAAAGTAGGCAAGGAAAAAAAAAAAAAACACTGAGAAGTCTCGGAACCCTAACGTTGCAACACCAGGGGCAGCACAGGAGAGTCTCTCAGCTGAGTCAAAAATGTAGTTGAACAGGTTGCTTCTGTCATCACAAAGGCATGAGTGTTTGCACCCTTCATGGCACAGAACCTCATGCAGATTAAGGACTGTGTTTGCACTAATCCCAAGCTTTCTTCTGGGCCATTAGGAGACCTGTGCCCTTCTGGCCTATGTGTAAATGGCTGCTAGACAGCAGTGATGGCAAGCCATCTGTTGCCAGTTCCTTGGAACAGTAGGGCTAGGACAGTGCCTCCTAGAGTTGGGGTTGTGACACAGCTCCCTCAAGGCAAGCATCTAGTGTTCAAAGCAGTCAGGCTGCAGTGAGGGCAGTCCAGCTGGCTGCTAAGAGGGGCTGCTTGACTCAGAGTCAACTGTTCAGAGCAGCAGAGTATCAGAGAAGGGTCTAACAACTGTCCATCAGGGGTCAAATAACTCAGGCACCAATATCTCAGCTTATTTAAAGGAAAAATTAGCAATAACAGGGATGTTTACAAAAGAGGCCCCACATTAACATTAACAAGGCTTTAAAAACATTTAGCAGCGTTCTGCTCAGACAAATATCCACGCGGACAGCTGGGTCACTTTATCAGTTTATGACTAATAGCAATAGAAGGCTTGAGTTCTGCAAGTAGGCACAGGCAGTAGAAACAAGTCAAGACGCCACTGTGCTACTGATGAGTCTGCATCTATTTCAAAAGGGCGTGCCACGGATTCCTGGGAGGTGAGCAGAGCCCTGTCCTCTTGGTCTGCCTCTGTCAGTCCACTGTAATTACTGAGGATTCTGCAATCTTGGCTGCTGTGTTCCAGTTTCCTCCCAACTGAAACCTTCTCTCCTGGAGGGAGAGGGAGGCTCAGGAGATTCAGGACCAGGAAGGTCCTGAAACTTACAGGAGTCACAGGCCCCTTCCCAAGGTCATGTCTGCACTGTCAGCTGCTTGGGAGAGGAGAGTCTCTCACTCATCTAGCTTCCTGCTTGTCTGGCAAACTCCAGGAAGTAGCATTCATGACCTGTTACCCATACTGGGGTGCACTTTCGGATTCTGTAGCTGCCTTTGAGTTGCGTACTACTGTAGGTAACCCCAGTAGACTCAATGGTTTGTCAAATTGGGCTTTGGCGGAATTGCTACTTTGGCCTGCACCTTATATAGGGTGAATAGACATTTGTTGACATCTCAGTCACACAAAGGGACGGTATCGCCTTAAGCAGAGAAGGAGGGACAAGACTGGAAAGGGAAGCAAGTAAGCACTGTCCTCTGCCCCCAGCAGGACCCAGTATTGGAATCCCAATGATAAAGCTACATGGATCTTAGCAAGCAATAGAAACATAGGAAGATAGTCTCTCCCCAGCTGTAAGCAGTATGTCCTCTCCTTCAAGGATAAACATCAAAACTACTTACTGGGTATTTTTCCAGTGGGTCCATGAGAAGGGCATCGCCGAAGATGAGTCGGCAATACTCTGCCATCTTGGCTTGTTGCTTTGGGCTAAGGGAGAACGAGAGAAAATTAGCATAGGGCTTATTCAAAGAGGTTAGCACATCATTTCTCTGTCCCTGGATTCTTGAAATTCCTAAAATTAGTAACTTTGTTAGTTTTAATTCCCTGGTTTTTTTGGTTAACTGCAAGATACTTGGAAGAGGAAATTTTTCATGGCTCCATGTGAATTCTTGGGCGAAGTAACAGAATGTTGTGAGGGAGTATTTATAAGGACATGAGAGATGGGAGGAAGAGAGATGACCGTCAGGGAGAAAGTCTCAAATGCAGAAAACTGAGGAGACAGTGAGCCTGTGGAGGGAGTACTGGAGGAAGAGTAAACTCAGCCTGCACAGGGGTGTCTGCAACTCTGCTCTTGCTTTTTTTCGGTTTTTGACACACAGCCTCACTATGTAGCCCAGACCACCTTGATGCTGTGATCCTCCTGCTTCAACATCCTGGGTACTGGGATAACAGATACATACTTCCATGCCCAGCTTTGCTTCTCTGTAACTCTTTTGGGCTGAAGAGAGGAGCAATGGAGGTAGTGGCTCAGGCATGCCGCCAGGAGGATCCTGACCTGACAGGGGCTGGAGTGCTGGTATAGCAGTGGAGCTTCAGGTTCTAAACCACACTGAGTCTATAAAAGGAGGGGGTTAGCTGTTCTCGGAACAGGACAGTGAATGCCGTGAAGATGAAATGAAGTAATGGGTACAAACACTTTTGAAAAGCCTCAAGAGCAGGACACATGTAAAATGATCCCACCAGGAGGAGATGGTCTGGCGTGCCAGCTAGACTAGACAAATTGTGCCTCCAGCTCCTGTAAACACGCTGTTAGAAGAACGTCCGCGCCTTTCCTGCTTCCTTTGACCTTTTCAGACATGAATAAAAAATAGTTTTCTTATTCTGTGCAATGGTAAAGATCATTATAAGATATCTAGAACTGCTGGGTTTTATGGCCTCTGATTTTGATCTATTGGCTGCGGGTCTTGACTCCCCATGACTATACTGCAGTAAGAGTCCATTGTAGCTAAAAAATGTACCGAAGGGAGACTAGTAAACATAATGAAGAGGATGATGCTTTACCATAAATCATAAAGACCATAAAATGTAATTCGTATTTTCACTGCTTCTTCCATGAAGGTTAAGCCTGAAACACACTGTGTTTTCTGGGAAGGGGGCACTTAGAGTGAAATCACACAGCAGGGCTGCACAGAGAAAGCACTCGCTGCACCCCTCTTTAACAAAGACAAAGCATGTGCTCTGGGGGTCAGCAAGCTCTTCAGGGTTCCTGTGTCAACTCTCAAAGCTCATGTTTTCTTGGAACTGCAGGGAGAGTTAAATGGAAAATTTGGAAAGCTTACAAAACCCTGAATAATGACTTAACATTTCTTTTTTAAAAAATATTTTCTTTATTATTTTTATTTTATGTGTACGAGTATATTGCCTGCATGTATGTAAGTGCACCCATGTTGTGCAATGTCCACAGAGGACAGAAGAGGGTATCAGATCCCCTGGAACTGGAGTTACAGATGGTTGTTAGCTGCCATGTGGGTGTTGGGAACAGAACCTGGGTCCTCTGGAAGAATAGCCACTGTTCTTAACTGCTGAGCCATCTCTCTAGGCCCTACATCTCTTTTGTTGCTATCAGGTCTCCTGTGTAGCCAAAGCTGCCCTCAAACTCACTATGTAGCTCCGACTGGTCTTTCAGTTGCAATCCTCATGTCTCAGGCTCTTAAGTGCTGGGCCTGCATCACAGAAACATGCTATCATGCCCACAACAAAGCCTTGCACCTCCACACCCTGTCTGTTTTCGCCTGAACAGGTTTTTACTATGTGGTATACACAGCCCTAAGAAGAGATGATGACAACCCTCAGTAGAAATTATGGATGAGACCTTTGTGTGCAGGCAGGGAAGTGGTTGATGGGGCAGAGAATTTCTGCCCAGTGGAGACTAACACAGGAGCTCTGCCAGGTCAGTCTGCTCTCTGGCTGCAGCTGAAAACAGGGCTGTTTGTGCTGGGCCTGCCTATTCTAGACTGCACTAAAGAAACTGCCCAGACTTACCACTGCATGTGTACAGGTGACTCTATTAACTATCATAGCACTGTATACGTCCAAGTGTGGCCCAAGGCCAGCCACATTCACACTGCCTCTCTGGGGAACTGGCTCTCAGGAACTTTCATCGTCGAGAGCCCTCTTCACGTTTATGTGCATGTTTGAAGCAGGTTAACAGGAGCTGAAGTGGGTGGCATTCTTCTTGAGTGTTGTAATTTTGGAGCTTTAAGTGTTCTTTTATTAGTGATCAAGAATGAAATGGATTTTTACACTGATACCTAACTTTCATCATTTCCTGGGGAGTCATGCTCTCAATGATAAAAGAATCTCAGAGAAATTTTCCTAAATAGGTGGGAACTGACCGATGGGTCCCCAACCAGGGTTTGGAAGGAGGCTGCTAAAGTCAGAGCTTCCACTCCATTCTGCTGCAGAGAAAACTGAACTGTCAACACTGAGATGACAGAACCCAGTCCCGTCCATTGGCTCATGAACCTGCATTTTGAGCAAGCATGCAGGTAATTCTGATGCAAGCGGCTCATGAGCCACACACTTCATTCAAATCACCTAGGGTCTCATTAGATGCAGATTCACACTTAGAATTCGGGACAGGAAAAGATCCCTCTGTTGCTCAGAAGTTCCTAGGAATACATATGTTGTTGGTCTAAGGACCAATTACACTTTGAAGAGCGACTCTGTGTGGAGATGTAGGTGTCCAAGAAAAAGTGAACTATGCTATTTAGTCATCAGGCCATTCGTGTTCTTGGCAAACACACGTCTCTTTAATCAGACCACAGAGCAAACTGAATTCAAAAAATCAGTGGAAAACAAAGAGATTAAATGCAGGTCAGAACTAAAGAAATAAAGGGCATTAAAACTGCAATTAACAAAGAAATCCTGAAGTTTTTAGAGCAGCAACATCAGCTATGATGGAAACAAAATGAGAGGAAAAAAATTCACAAATACATTTTGACCTTCAAGTTGTAGCAGATTAAAAAAAAAAGATTTTATTTATTATTTTATTTTATGTGTATGAGTGTTATGCCTGCATGTAGGTAAATGCACCTGTGTCATGCAATGCCCGCAGAGGACAAAAGAAGCTGTTGGTTCCCCTGGAACTGGAGTTATGGACAGTTGTTAGCTGCCATGTGGGTGCTGGAATTTGAACCTGGGTCTTCTGCAAGAACAGGCAGTGTTCTTAACTGCTGAGCCATCTTTCCAGCCTGCAATAGCAGATATTTCTAAACATTAAATTATCCATATAGCATCTGGTAAATGCGTCAGTTTTCTGACAAGGAGTGCACCCTAATGGCAACATCCCCTTTGATATTCATAGGTGGTGATTTCAAATATTTGGAGAGAAAAATAGTAAAATCTGTGGATTTCTTCCACTTTTCCCCCCTGTGACGGCTAATCCTGGGTGTCAACTTGACTGGATCCTGGATTAACTGAAATGAAGAGATCTTCTTGATTGGATCATCTGAAGCTGGAAGACATACCCTAAATGTGGGTGTTACCTTCTGAAGGCAGCCCGTATAAAAGGCCAAGGCAGAGGAGAACGCCTGGCTTTTGCTGCTTGCCTTCTCTCTCGCTGGTGAGTTCGTCTTGCTGCTGTAGACTGAAGACTAGCTGATCTTCTGGAATTTGTCAGACCTTCAGTGCCAGATTGGGACTACTGAGTCATCCAGCCTTGTGGACTGAGCAACTACGGATTCTCAGCCTCTCCAGTGTGGTACAGCCATTATTGGACTACTCAGACTTTATCCTGTGAGCTAAGCTGATAAATCTCTATACATATATATTCATTCTACTAGTTCTGTTTCTTTGGAGAACCCTGACTAATACACCCCCAGTGCTGGATAGCTTTAGTGTCAACTTGACACACCTGGGTTGAGGGAGCCTCAATTGGGGAATTGCCTTCATTGGACTGGACTGTGACCATGTTCATGGGCACCTTCTTGATTGTTGAGTGATGTGGGAGGGCCCAGTCCACTGTGGGTGGTGCCATCCCTGGGCAGGTGGGCCTGTGTTGCATAAGAAAGCAGGCTGAGCAGGGGCCAGGGGAGCAAGCCAGCAAGCACCGTTCCTCCATGGCCTGTGCTCCAGCTCCTGCCTCCAGTTTCCTGCCCCTGAGTTCCTCCCTTGGGCTCCCTGATGAACTGTGACCCAGGAGATGTAAGACAAATAAACCCTTTCCTCCCCAAGTTGGTACTCGTCAGAGTGTTTTGTCACAGCAACGGAGAATCAAACTAGGGCAGAAATAGGAACCAGATAGTAGGGCACTGCTGTGACAGACCTGATGTTGAAGGATTGTGGAAGCATTTGGAACTTTGGGCTGGAAAAGCCATTCAGTGCTTAGAGTTTGGTGCTGTGGAGCTTAAACAGTTATGTTGAAAGAGTTGTGGATGATGGAGGCCTGGCTTGTGAAGCTTCAAAGGGAAGCAGAGACTATCAGGCCTATTTGTGTGAGATTTTGAATGAGAATCTGTGGGTTCTGGTTGGCTGGGGCTGAAGAATCAGCTGTGATTAAGAAGAGACCAGAACCTGAAGTAAAACCTTTGCTTTACTGGGACAATTGATGCTGGTTAGATGGGGCTGAAAAATCAGCTGTAAGTAACAAGAGACCAGCATCACTGTGATAAACATGCTCTAGAAAGTATTTCCTCAGGGTCAGCGCACAGATGCTATGGCCCAGAGGGGGCCAAGCCCCCATCTCAAGCTGAGGCAGGACTTGGTAATGTGTAAGAGTCTCCTGCATGGTTCTGGTGTTGAAAACATGAAGGAGTCACAGAGAGCAGCTGAGGCTTGGCACCCTGAGAGGCCAGGGAAAAGGCACTGGCAAAAGTAAAGACCCCGGAGTTGAAGGGGTCATGGAGAAAATCTGAGGCTTTGCACCCCGAGAGGCCAGAAGAGGCCATTGGTGAGGGTGCAGCCTCAGTTTCAGTGGAGACCCCAACTTTTTGGAGATGCCAGGACCGTGGGACAACCACCAAGGACAGCAGTAAGTGTGGAAGGAGCTGGACTGGGTCTGCGAGACCAGCTGTGTGTGCTCTGGACGGCAGGGTCAGAGAGGTGGAGCTGACAGAACCCTCTGGAGCCCAGAAGATCATGAGTGAATCCCAGATGTCCAGCCTTGGGATACTTTGCTGGACTTTGGTTTTGCTTAGGTGTGCCCGATTCTTCCCTTTGAAATAAGACAGGACTTGTTTTGGATTTTACAGAAGCCCACAGTTAAGAAAATTTTAAAAGAGACTATGGACTTTTAAGTGTTTGGATTTTTTTTTTAAGGACTGTGGGGCTTTTAAGGTTGTACTGTCTTATGTTGTGATATTAACATCATATCTTGGGGCTAAGAATTGGAAAGGTTATGACTTAATAGTGGTGTGTTTGTGTGTCAAGTTGACAAGGGGCTAATTGTGCTGGATAGCTTTAGTGTCAGCTTGACACACCTGGGTTGAGGGAGCCTCAATTGGGAATTTCCTCCATAGGACTTGCCTGTGGCCATGTCTGTGGGACATTTTCTTGATTGTTAAGCGATGTGGAAGGGCCTAGCCTACTGTGGGTGGTGCCACCCCTGGGCAGGTGGGCCTGTGTTGCATAAGAAAGCAAGCTTAGTAAGGGCCAGGGGAGCAAGCCAGTAACCAGCATTCCTCCATGGCCTGTGCTCCAGCTCCTGTCTCCAGTTTCCTGCCCCTGAATTTCTCCCTTGGGCACCCTGATGAACTGTGACCCAGGAGATGTAAGACAAATAAACCCTTTCTTCTCCAAGTTGGTAGTGATCAGAGTATTTTGTCACAGCAACAGAGAGACAAATTAGAACACCCAGTATGAATTTGTTATGGTAGTGTGGGCTGAATTGGTAGGGAGAGGAGCTCTGAGCCTGACATGTTGCAGTGCTATACAGAGGACTTAGAGGTAGTTCACCAGGCATGTGGTGGGCACCTTGCTGGGTCACTGTGTTGAGGATTCCAAGGGTGCAGTGAGTTTGAGTGACAAAGCAAGTGCTGGGACTTGAGGATTGATGTTGAATTAGGTGAGGTGACCCAGAGGTCAAGTATACGGCTCTGCCCACTAAGGGAAGTCCACTGCTTTTGTTGGGTGTGTGACACTCCTCCCAGGAAAGAGTTGTGGCTGAGCAGTTTCACCCTCTGGAGGTGAGGGGAGAGGAACTGTGGAACAGACACTTCCTCTGACAACAGAAGTCATGGTTTCCATCTTGGCACTGCTATTTGATTATCTCAGTGGTTTGGGACACAACTGTGCATCTCATTTGGTCTCAAGAGAATTATGAATGAACTCATAACACTGACATGTATTTACCCAGAGGAGCTGCACCATGTCCTATAGCCCCCCTGTTTTAGTGCACAGTGTAGGAATGAGGTTTCCTGACCAATTTTGGATCTCTGTTTGTTAGTGTGGAAGACTGCAGAACACATCCTGTGAACACTGGTAGGCAGATGCCTTGCAGATTTCAGGTTGTCTTGGTTCCATGATTTGGAGGTGGATGGTGCTTCTGTTTAGGGATGGGGTGGTGCTGGCTCAGAGCCTGTGATCTGAAGCCAGGCCAGCTGGATCGGAATCTCACTTAGGTTGAGTGTTAGCTACACACCTCAGGTAAACTCCCCACCGATTTTGGGATTCAGTATCTTCACCTGTAAAATAAGAGTACTTTGAAAGATCCTCTGTGTTTGTGTAAGAGCTTTATGTGCATGTAAAATATTTGTAATCCTGTTTGGTACAAAATATATGTTAAATAAGTATAAGCTTTTCTGTCTGTGGTATTGTAGATGTTGGGGCCTCTCTATTTACCTCAAGGGGGAGTTCATACTGTCTGTAGCAGCTGAGACACTACGAAACGGAACTACAGTCTTTGATTTTTTTGTGCAATTTACATAGATATATTCCTTTAAATAAACGATGATACTGGATACCTTTGCTTAAAGAAAAACCGAAAACAAGACAGCTAACAAATCTGGAAGACACTTTGAACGAAAAGTGGCCAAGATGTTGCGGGTACTCAAGGACAAATGAGATGGACAGCAACAGGAAAGAGCTCCATCAAAGTCAACTGCAAATTAGGGCTCTTGCAGCAAACCAGGTATTAAACCCAGTTACTGCAGGGGTGACCCTTCTGGTGGGAAAAGAAATGAAGGAAACCACTCTTCAACTGACCTCAGGGATGTTAGGAAAACCATGTGCTGATGATTTCGTCGTTCACTGAATGAACAGTGTCCAATTGATAAATGTGATATATTTCCCTAACGGCAAACTGGAAATATAAATATTCACAAAACGGACTACTGCAAACTAAGGTTGCTTTCTGCTTACATATGAACAGAGTGCCGTATTCTGATCAAGCTCCTTCCTGAAGATTTAGTAAATTCTTTAGGAATTCATGAATGGAAGTACATGTTGCAAATTAATCAGACAAAGAAATCAGTAAACCGAAAAAGACTCAGAGAGAAAGGAGAAAGTAATGTGAGTCCTATTAGGACAGTGCCACTGGTTTTCATTACAGCATCTGTCATGGAGCCTTGAGAGGGACAGAAAGCTTCACCAGCACTCCTTAAGAAACCACACTCAGCTACGTGTTCTTAAGCGCTGTCTACAGACTGAAGTCTCAGTTTCCTGAACTTTGTCTCAACATAGACAATACTCTGCCTGTGGGGCCCCTAGAATAATGCACTAATATACAGATCTTAGAATTTATCTTGACCTGATTCTCGGTGGTAAAGTAAATATAAAAATCTTGCTGGGCATGGTGGTGCACGCCTTTAATCCCAGCACTTGGGAGTCAGAGGCAGGCAGAGCTCTGTGAGTTCAAGGCCAGCCTGGTCTACGTAGC